AGGATAATCAACGGTGCCCTATCTGCTGCATCGAGCAGGGTAGATAGGGGTTTGGATGCCACTGCTCAAGCCTACCCATCTCCTTATTCTTACGCTTTTTCTCCCTTATGGTCCCGTTCCAGCTTCAATTTTATCCCTCATTTTCAACCCCCGATTCTTGGCCCTCCCCCAACATGATTTGCCAAGCGTTTATTTTCTAGTTTCAACTCACATGCAAACACGGAGCGTCACTTCTGCCCTGTCGACAAGCCCATGTCCAACCAAGCGGTCAAGCCCAGTTCATCGGCTTCCATTTGGAGCCCTCGATCCTCCTTCAGATTGCCATGCCTCAATATACGTACATTGCTACAGATCGGTCAACAGGTAGCACTTTCCCGAACTTTAGAGAACCTCACGATCGAGATCTGCTGCTTATCGGAGACCCGACTGCAAGACTCGAGCTCTGTGCTCACTCTGCGATCCCCTTCAGGTGACACTAGCAGCAGTTTCTCATTGTGCCTATGCAGTGACGATGCAGCTTCGAGCACCGGCCAAGCTGAAGCTGGCATTGTCCTGAGTCCCCGGGCTGAAGCTGCTCTGGTTGATTGGATCCCAGTCAGTAGCCGGATGTGTGCCGTCCCATTGGCTGGCTCGTTTAAAGCTTCGAATTCGCGCGGGACGACTAGGTGTCTATTCATCATCGCTGCCTACGTGCCAACAAACTGTATCGATGATTCGGTGAAATACGACTTTTATCGCCAACTTACTGAGCTCCTTCGCCATAGAAGAAACACGGACACTGTTGTACTGGCGCGGGATCTGAACGCACAAATTGGAAAGTTGTACGCAGGTGAAAGGCATCCGGGCGATCAGCACAGTGTAGGCTCCCGTAAATATAACGGTGAGTGGTTACCTCATTTGTGTGAAGATGCCCGTTTATTTTTTGCGAGCACTAACTTCCGACACAGCACTCGCCGGAGGGTGACTTGGCGCACACCAGCCTTGGACACAACTCGATTACATTGCAATCAGTTACCGATGGAGTGGCTGCATCCAGAATTGTCGCTCGATTTGGAGCACAGCTGTGGACACCGACCATGCACTTGTATGTGCTGACATGCAAATGCGTTTTGGCGGACGCCCAGGACGACGTTGTGAGCGCATTGACACCAGCCAAATGACGAAGCCAGCTGTTCTGAATGCCTATCAAAGTACACTGACATGCGAGTTGTGTAAAGGCTCATTGGAGACACTTGAAGGTTACTGGTCGCATGTTCATCAGACCTTACTAGCAGCAAATCCCCCAGTAGCAAGTCTAATAGCCAACATGGACATTGGCTCTCTTCGCGGTCTCTGGAACTTATCGATGCTCGCCGGCGTATTCCGACTGAAAGCGATCGCAATGAAACTCGCAAAGAGCTCCGGGCAAAAGTCCGCGCTATCCTGAAGAGAGCCCACGAATCCTGGTGGTCTCTTCATGCGTCAGAGATGGAAATAGCCGCTGCCCTTGGTAACCATGGAAAGTTATTCCCTCTGATACGGGAAACGGGCAACAGGAAACCTAGTGTTACTGAAAAAATTTGTGACAAGAGTGGACCACCTATCCACAATTTGTCAAAGCGTATGGAGCGCTGGGTTGAGCATTTTGAAAACCAATTTAATCGGCCGGAATTGTTCCATTTTTCATCGGCCAGTGATCACCCTGCTCCGTGGGCTGTCCCTTTGGATCCGCCATATTGCTCAGAAGTCAAATGTGAGATCGGACTGTTGAAGTTGAACAAAGCCGCGGGAACAGATGATTTTCATCCAGCCCTCCTCAATTTCAGGGGCCCTGCTCTTGTTGATGATTTACACGGATTACTAGTGAAACTGTGGGAGCATGCAAATGTCCCAACCGACTGGAGTCACTCCGTTATTGTTCCCATCTCCAAAGGAGGCTCGCGATCAGAATGCTGCAACCATTAATCAGTTTGTTTCCCATCGCCTCCAAATTACTTGCCTCTGTAATCCTTCACAGACGGCTGGCGCTCGTGAAAGCCAGATTCGTGAGGAGCAAGCCGGGTTTCGTCGGGGCTCGTATCTGCATCGACCACATCTCCACTTTGCGTCAATTGTTGGAACACCGTCACACATATTGGCGGCCCACCGTACTCGTGTTCGTCGACATCAAAGGTGCCTTCCATTCGGTTGATCGATGTGCCATTTTGGACTGCTTCCTCAGGAAATGTCTGCCCGAGTGGTATGTAAATATTATCCGAGCATTATACGCGCGTAGCACAGGCAGAAGAGTGAAGACTTACGACGAGCTGTCGCTGCCCTTCAATATCTCCAGCGGTGTGAGACAAGGATGCCAGTTGTCATCTTTCCTCTTCAATTTCGCTATTGACGAAGTCGTGGAGGCTGCATTTACAGGACACGACTTAAAAGATGTGGAGCTACTCCTAGGAGTACCATTTCTTGACTTGGAGTATGCAGACGACATTGCCCTCATCTGTGACAGCTCCTAGACGTGCCCAGCTGCGCTAGAGAGATTAGCACTGGCTGTCAGCCGCTTCGGGCTTTGGTTTGCACCATCAAATTGCAACACTTTCCTCCAAGCTTGGCAGGGATCGCCTCCTGCGCTGACCCTTGTTGCAGCTCAGCTAGGAGTTGTTCCGAAATTCAACTACCTGGGAAGTTGTATCCACCCTTACGATCGAAAACGAGATCACGAAGCGTATAGCGAAAGCTCGAAATGCTTTTGCTAGTCTTCGGCACCTATGGCGGCGGCGCGACATCACTCTTGCCCTGAAGGGTAGTGTACAATGCAGCGGTACGTTCGACCCTACTGTACGGTTGCGAAACCTGGCCCCTTAGATCATCATACATGAAGAGGCTAGTTACGTTCGGCCATCGGTGCCTTCACAGTTTGGCTCACAACTGGTGGGAACAGAGCGTGAGCAATGAGCGTGTTCAACGCCCTGTTTACCGCACAGGAAAAGGAGTTGAACCGCTCAGCACCGTCATTTCACGTACCAGTCTCCGATAACTTGACCACGTGTTACGCATGCCAGCCCACCGACTCCCGCGACGTGCGTTGTTTGCTCGCCGGGGGGGTGTGGATGAAAGAAGAGAAGAGATGGCCAAGTGATAACTTGGTCGAGATGAATGAAGACCCTCACTTTTGAGCTGGCCTCGGTTGGAACTTCACGGCTCCCTGGTTTTGGCGCAAAAGTCGATAAACACGTTTGGCTAGATACACTTGCTGACATGGCTAGGAGACGACCTCAGTGGCGTTCCTTCCGTGAGTTTCTTTGTCCCTCCTCATCTCTCTTAGCCTCCCCGTTTAATCATAATCTTACTATTTAGCCTTATATAATTTTGCATGGTAATTTTTTGTTGCATAGTAGCCGGCTGCTATATTACCGGAACGTGCCCATCCCTTACCGGTAGCTCAGCTGGCTTGCACCTTTTATGTGTTCCCCTTCTTTCTTTTATGTATTGCGTCACAGTAGCTGAATTGCTTACACACTAGCTAACGTGTATAATGAATGAATGGATGTAGTGGATGCGGTCATCCATTGAAACTGCATAAACCACGATCTGATCGAATTGGGACAGAAACTCGTCTCTCGCGCCGAGTTATTGATCGCTGGGATTCGCTCCCAGATCATGTGGTTAGGGAACCAACGGTTAAGGATTTTGCGCTTCAGCTCGATGCTTTTGGGTGGCAACACCAAACCTGTCCTTTTTCCTAACTGACTCATCTTCAGCCTTCAGTACATTTTAATGACTCAAATAGCTTTCCTGTATGTGTGGTGGCTATCTGCCTGTGTCTAACTGCCACGAATCTATACAAAAAGCTTAGTAGTCAACTTGTTTAGCTCTTTCCGCTTACTCTTCTTACCCTCTGCGTTTACTATGTCCTCTTTCTTACTTCACGTAGCCGGTCCAGCAGGTACTGCTAGGATATGATATGTGGGTAATAATTGGTTGGACAGGTGTGATACTGTCTTTGTTTTAGGTCTATTGGTATTTCAAAGTCCGTCAACTCCTGGTTCGACGAGCCGCTGCAGAAGGAACACTCACGGGATAAATTATATCGTTCCAGTCCCACTTGAACATTAACTTGTCCAACAGCTCCCGCATGCGGGCTCACAGTTAGCAGGACGGTGACCGATGGGGCCATCGATGGTAGTTCAGCGTCTTTTACGTCGTTTTTTTCTGTACATGTGCTTGAGAAAGTATGTGATGCACGAGTAAACAAACCTTGGGTTTCAGTTTGCTTCGCGATACCTTTCTGTACAAAATCTATTGGTACGTCTTATCAATGGAGCTCGAGACTGCATGAGAAGCTCAGAGCAAGACTACTGGTCTTTACCCTTATCCTGCTGGTTTCATCTCGGTACAGATAAAAATTTGAGTTTACTTAGTACAAGATACTAACTCTGATGACCCGGACGCTCTATGAGTAGTCAACATGAGCATGGATAATATCACGTCTGAGGCGAGTTACCCCTTGCTGTCAATGCATCATATGATATTCCCAGCATTTACTGAGAGCATTTTATGATTTTAGTGGGATACTGCTTTCCTAAGTCTAACTAGTGTTAACGAGTGCAGACCTAAGAGCTTGCAGCAATCTTCATAGATGATCTCCGTTCACGTCGGATCAGTTTTGTCATTGAACTCGAGTTAGCATCCGGAACTACCTGTTGATTTGTGTACTACCGCTGTGAGTTGGCTTGACGGTGTTATGCGATCTTGAACGAAATTCTCAACACCGTCGGTCACAAGTGTTTGAGTCAACGACTTTGCGGTTAACAAGCGACCACGCCATTTTGTCAGTTGCACCCTACACGGTACATGTCATGTGTTCCTATTGGTATACGCCTGTCTGGTTGGCAGCACCATATTTTCTCTCTATTCACTTATTTTATCATGTATGCTCGTGTGTGTATACCAATTGCCTACGCTTGTTTCTTTTGGTTTTTCATCACACTATCCCAGTCGTGGTGTTCTTTTCACCACCATTTTAAACAGGTCAGACTGAAGCTTTCGAAGATTCTTTCGAGGGATCCAACTGGAACTTTGGCAGTCTAGCAGTGGCCTTTTACGGCGGACTGTTTGCTTACTCAGGGTGGAATTACCTCAACTGTATGATCGAGGAGATGAAAAACCCACGCAGAGATTTGCCTATAGCAATCATAATTTCTTGTCTGCTCATCACATCGGTCTACACCATGGCAAACGTGGCGTACGCTACGGTGCTCACTATCCCAGAGATATTGGCATCACCCGCGGTGGCCGTAGTAAGTCTATTGCCCGGAAGGCAACCAATGTAAATGATTCAGTATTCGCATGTCCGTTTGAAGCCCTCTTTGTACGACTACATTGTGGCCACGCAATCTCAGTCCATGTCATATCTTACACGGGAGCGGAATGCGGTCACTGGGAAGGTCTTCGAACTGCGTACAGGTTGTCAATAAAATCATCTTCCACGATTGATTTCCTGCCTATTTGCACTCTTCAGACGAAGGTAACCCAACTGGGATTTGAACCTATACCAACTACGCAACGCGTGCTTCAAATGAACCAACAAACTCTGATGGACCGTTGTGTGACGAGCATTATCTGCGCCTCGATGGCGTAGGATAGCAACCCATGACCTCCATGCTCCGGGTTCGAGTAGCAGTTCTGCAACCGGCGAGCGGGCAACATCTAACATGTGCCCATTTCACATACTGTCCCAGTGGCAGGATTGAGATTATTTGTCCCAGTTCATCCAAGTGAACCAGTTACAACGGGCTTTTCCCGTAGCCCGCTAGTGTAGTGAATAATTATTTCCACAAAGTTACAGTTCAATTGATTTACAGTTTTTTTTCAAAATTCCGCCCTCGCTTCTGGCTGCCAGCGTGGAATCACCCGGACTATGGCTACAATGACACAACTCGCATCCTCGACATCCCATCTCTGGTACGGCTCGTGGTGTCGACAACCAGCATGTGTCTTTTGGAGAATACATAGTCGGATTCCCACATGATAATTCTTCTTGATAGGAGAAGTTAACTCTAGATCCATCAGGATGTAGGATTAATTTATAATGTGCACACTGTAACTTGCATCTAAGCACTTTGCACTCCAGTGTTCTCCATGCTTGTAGCTGCTGTTTGTAATGTATCTACTTGCTTTTCTTCAGTGATCGAAACGCCGAATGGATCCCAGTTCACCATATATGTATTCATTTCTCGGTCCATGATTCAATGTATCTCAACGCTGAAGCTTATTGGGGTCTCAGCGTGTGACATCTTACTGCAGGTTTTTGAAGTACCTGCAATTCATTATATATATTTTTCAACAGTCTATGAATAGACATTGAGCCATCGGAAACCATGGAACTCAAAACAAGGTACAGAAATAGTAAAAGAAAACACAATACATCACATTAAACTACATGGTTTCGTCAGAGGGCTAGATACTACCCGGTTGCCCAAGCCGAAGTAGAGTGTTGACTTGGGGCACACCACCCCGAGCCTTTGGCTGAATAGCCTGCCCGCAAGGCAGCGGAGCGAATTCAGGGAATCGCGCCCATTGGGAGCCGGTGACTGCTTGCTCAGTTCATACGCAATTCGTTTGTTCCTTTGTCAAACAGGGGCCCAATGCTCCCCAAAATTACGGCATAAACTTTCTGGAATACAATGCTTCGCCAGGATGAATCAAGGGGCAGTGGCTTTATTTAGTGGCGAGCCACGTCCGCCACTTCACAGTGTTGTTAAACGGACATATGTGGCTCTTTATAGGGAGAACGCTTACCAGGCGAAAACCCACCACGTCCTGGAACACTGCCGCCGAACCATTTGCTGGAACGGGAAAATCCCGAACCACCCAGCTGGCACCACGAGCCAGCCATTCATTGATCCGAGCTAGAGCTTCGCTTCCATCCTGCCGCAGACAGTGTGGATCATTTTTGTCGAGAGTGATTGGTTCTTTTTGCATTGTTCTACCTCCATGTGGCCAATCACTTCGTTTGATTTTGCCCAATACAAACACATTACAATCACTAAATCCCCATGTGCTTTTGCCGCTGTCTTGTACACTTAGTTACTAATGGCAAATTTATATTCTTTTCGTCAATAGAGCTTTGCGAATCGAATCTATGGCCCTGCGTGGTGGATTATGCCAATTTTTGTTGCTCTTTCCACATTTGGGGGTACCAATGGCACAATTATGACCACTTCGCGCATCTTCTTCGTGGCTGGCCAGGAGAAACAGATGCCTTCAGTGATGTCTTTCCTACAGATGCGTAGACTTACGCCCATCCCAGCCGTAGTGTTCACCGTAAGTTTCACAATAAATTTACAACTTAAAGTGATGATTTTCAGCTCTAGATGAGCATGAAGTCCCAGGCGACTAATTTTAAACGTGTAAATACTGGTAACCGTTCTTCCAGGTTTTCTGGTACTTGCCTTCCAACGGTCCAACTGCGAAGTGGCTAGACGTGAGCGAAATCTAAGCTATTGCGTCGCAATTCAGCGCAGTCAGATGATTGAAAAGATCAATTTAAAGCATTCTCGACCACGAGGCATCTTATCAGCAACGCGCCTGTACTCGATACTGTAATCCAGCGCAGCCTCTGGAGGTTCAATGTGCTAGTAGCCAAATCAGAATAGGCGTTGTTCAGCAGGACTGAAAACATTTAGATTAGCGCAGTCGAGAATTCACAGTAGCAGAACAGCACAATATGCAGATTGAAAAGATGCTTGCGGTACTCTTTGCAATAGAGTTGCCTGCCAAATAAGCGCTCAATGCTGAAGGGCTGAATGCTGTGACGGCTTGGAGCAGCAATGTCGCCAACATCCAAAGCGCACTGAAGGTTCTATATCGTTGGGGCATGAATGACACAATGAGAATCACGCTCACCGGTCTCATTGGCTGAAACAGTAACGTGGTGATCGAGCACAACTGCCCGTGTAGCGGAATCATGCTTTACGTGAGCACTGGGATCATCCAGCATGGATTTTATATCGCTCCACTATGTGAACCGTATCGCGTTAAACATTTGAGAGTGAAACTGATCCTTCAGAGCATCAGGAAAATGCACGATGGATCCATACACACCGACCTACTCAGTCCGATGGGTGTGTGAGGTGGCACCAAACTTGGCTGATGCCAACGGCTCTGCCGCCAGCTGATCATTCAAACCGGCGTTGTGTTTCTGTGGTGGTGCAGTGCGTAGCCAACACGTCCCTCGCACCGTCAGCCTCCTGGTCTCACTGAGCCTCACGATCTCCGTGCCATAGCCATCTCGCCCCATTCTCATGGTTGCGGTGCGTCGCGTCGCGTCGGACGTTACTTTGTATGTCATTCAAGAATTGTGCGCACGTCCAGATCTCCAAACTTAACCGCTTCCCTCAGGGTTATATGATTGTGACGCGTAACCGATTGGGTGAGTGGATGAATGGGTGCTGAATTTCTGGTCGTAAGTATTGATGAGGCGAACTAGAGAAAAGGAGAGGGGTCGATGCTAACGTTTTGCAAGCTGTTTCATGCGTCCCCTAGCATGGTGCCGCCAAGCTTGCACCTAAAGTCACTAGGTACCAACGAATACTGGACCCACATGTAGATAAGGATCGATCTGCGTTTGTCAGCACTGGCTGAGAGGAAGTATGATTCCTCACTTTTTATCTAGATCGATATAAACGACCTGAATCACAAGTGTCTAGTGCAGTTTGGATTGCGACAAACTGTTAAGCTGGTTTGTGACTGGACTTTGAGCTAAGTCTCGGACACCCTAGTCATCAAAACCATTGTGCGAAGCAAGAGCCTCCTTGATAATACTCGCTAGCATCGTGTTCCACGATCAGACGTGTTTTCGTTTAGGCCCCTCCGGAGTGAGCATAACCAGGCCTAGCTCCAAACCGATACCAATATACCCGTCAATTGAAGCTGAATAAATTAAATTGTCGGCTCTCCAACCTTCAACCGTAACAGAGATCAGGGTTGCAGTTGGCGACTGATAGCCACTGGTTTTGATTGCCCAATAGGTACCTGAGTTGCGATGCTGAAACCCAACTAGTTGCACTGTTTGCTTTAAACTAAACCACAGTCACCTCAGTCACAGAGGGATATTGAGATTCGGCCATTCCGGTTGAAATCTTCTTTTTCCCACCGCATTGTCACAGACGAAACACTAATTTTCCGGTAGATATAGCCAGATTTGTGTTCTCGGAAAAGTGGCTCCTAAGCTTTGTCAGGTACACTGCCAATGTCGTTGCCTACCGCCGACCTCATTGGCAGTAGTCCTGTGATAAGTATAATGTGGTCATCAAACGAGGTGCGTCCTCATGCCTACACTTGACTCACCCACCGCGTGGCGTCTATTCTCTTAACCAACCCTTTTAGTTGGGTTAGAACTTCAGTTTAATTGCTTACCTCCTGTTGTTGTCCAAATAGTGGGGCACTTCAACACACCGGAACCATTTAATTTACTTACATCTCTGGTACGCAAGCGAATCGAATCAGTGACGTGTGTACGAGCTTCCATCCAACTGCGGACTGTGATGCACACAGTGTTACGCTCCGTCACATGCTCGTTCAATTTCATGTGTCTAAACAATTGTTCATTGTCACTCAATGGCAACACTTCAGTTCATAGCTGAGCCCATCCTTAGTCACAGTTGCCGATCACAAGGCTGGAATTTGAAGGCGGTCAGACCCCCCCTTCATCACAATACCATTAAGCTCCTTGTGTGAAGCCTGCCATAACGGTTACGGATACATTGTTGCATTTTATTATGCTTAGATAGTTACATTGTGACGCTTAACTTCAATTCAGACCGAGCTTTACTTTGAAGGCAACCCTAGTTTGCTCGGTCACTAGCCTCCCCACCGACACACATTGTTCAACGTTGTCACGCCCATTTGAATGGGACCCCACGGTGGCCAGTTGGTGACAAGGCGAAACCGTGGAAGGTTTGTCGACGGACTGACTCGGGTCGGTGCGTGTCGTCTTGGAAATCGATCTCATCAGCGATTTAATTCCGTCTTTGACATGATGCAGTGGAAAGGTCAGTCGCGCTTCTACAGTTGGCCCATGACTTCCAGATTTTAATCTTTACGTTCGACTATGATAGCTTTATTCCGTTACTCTTTCCTTACCTTACCTGAAATAACTATAGGTATTTGTTCATCCCATTCGAATGTATTCCTTTCCTTATACGTATCACCAATTTCCATTGCAGTGTTTGGCTACCGTTGTCTACGTGCTCATTGGAGATGTGAACTCGCTGATCGTCTACCTCGGCTTTGTTCAGTGGTTAGCCATCGGTATCTCCGTGCTAATAGTCATTGTATTCCGATTCACCCGACCTGAAATGGAACGGCCAGTGAAGGTAACTCACACCATTGTGTGTGTCTTGTAAACATTCCTTTCTAAAGGGCAGCCACAAGCGTTCTAGTGATCATATGGCACCATAACAAAATACCGTTACACCAGCAGTGATGGAACAGCAGAAAACTTTTACCGCGCTCTTCGTATCCGTCATAGCTACTAAAACCTTGCTGCAGATCAACCCGCGAGGATTTTAACCAATGTTGGCAAATATGTCATGCCCAATAATCCAGAAATTTCTCCCAAAATACTACGCACCACTAGTGTCTCCAGTACCAGAATACTGAGAATAGAGAGCGAGAAGATAAAAATCTGAGTTGCTCCATCTTAGGTGGATCGGGCACATGCGCGGAATCACATCGCTGCTTCATGCGCGATGGCAGCATAGAGTACATGCACTATATCTTATCCGGGTGCGATACGCTCCCTATACCTGTAGTCCGCAAAGTGAGCGTCCAGGAATCTCTTAAATTCCGACACCGATTTCGCCTCGACTAGTGTTTCGGGCAATTCGTTCCAATACTTCACCACTCGACGCTTGAAACACAAAGCGTGAGCGATGTGCTTTAAATCCGGTGCCACTAGTTTGTACTGGTGTCCGCGTGTACCGGGTGGTGTGCGAACGTGCAGCAGCGGCTTCAACAAAGAGAGCTGGCTCAAGAGCAGTATTCGGTGCGTCATCATGAGATCAACTCGAAGCCGACAATATGACAGGGTATAAAGCCCTAGTCTCCTACATCGGTCATCGTACGACATACCTCGTAATCTGGGGATGAGCCGGGTAGCTACATGCTGGACCCGTTCCAGTTTCTGCAACTCATCTATTGTGATCGGGCAATAGGCGGATTAGCCATACACAAACACTGGTCTTTTTATGGAAGAGACCAGACGCGTTGCAATCTGTTCAGACCAAGTGCAGAAGCTGCGTCGAAGTGCCCAAAGCAGACATAGTCCGTTTGCATACAGTCTGTTCGTGTTGTCGACAGACTTCAGATCACAGTGTGAGAGTATGCCTAGATGCTTTACGGAACTGGTAAGATGCAGCGGGTGGCTGTCCAGGTTGTAAGCACGCCCAGTACCACCCCTTCCCAGCCTCATTAATGAAAACTTGGTCGGGTTGACCGGTAGGTCAACTTCTTCAGACCACCGGGATAGGCAGTAGCGATCCTGCTGAAGGACGTCACAGTCGCCGGGAGAATCAATAATCCCCCAAATCTTCAGCTCGTCTGCAGGCAAGGCACAGACCGACCGAAGAAGCTGAGGTACTTGGTTGATGTGGATAAGGAACAAAATGGGCCCCCGTGCTGTACCTTAGGGCCCGCCGTTAGTGGACGGGCACTATTCCGTTAGGTGGTCATCCACCTGAACCCGCCATCGTCTCCCAATAAGGAGGTCACTGATCCACTGGTGCAGTGCACCACCAACACGACACATCATCAGCTTGTGTAGCAGGATCTCATTGTTCACTTTATCAAACCTTTTACTGAAATCAATGTAGATAACATCCACTGACTTCCCCCGGTTCAACGCTTGCAACCATTCCTGCTGCGTCAACAGCAAGTTCGTGATGCACGAGCGTCCCTTCATGAAGCCGTGTTTTGCCGGCTTTAGGATATTTTTCGACTGCAGCAGCTTAGAAGACCCTTTTACACAATCTTCTCGAGCACCTCCGCCAAAACAGAGATAAGACAAATCGGCCGGTAATTGTCCCCATTGCGTACGTCACCACCTTTTGGAATCCGCTTCACTACCGTGTATTTCCAGTCGCTGGGCAATGCACCCTCGGATAGCGATCTGTTGAACAGATCTGTCACGGCAGGCGCATTGGTGGCCGATAAGTACTTCAAAATCAGTGGGTGAAGTCCATCGGATCCCGCAGCTTTCGTGCCGTGAAGACTGGCGAGTAGACTGCGAACATCTTGTACACCGCGATCAAGGCACTCGAGTTCAGTAGGGGCTGCACACGTCGAGATTGGCATAGGCGCCTGCCCAGTTGTATATACGGAAGCGAAGTGCTCTGCCAATGCAGACGCACGTTCAGTGCTGGAGATCAGAGACTGTCCGTCAGTACACTCTAACACAGCTACGTCACTTGCGGGCCTCAGACGCCGCTTTACATGAGCAAAAATCTTTTTGGGGGCCGCCTTCGCTGAGGTTGCAAGCTCTACTTCGAAGTGCCGACGCTTTCGCGCTGTTGCATAGATTCCGCTGCCTTTTGTTCGCCTCATAAACGTCGGCAGAGTCAGAGACAAGGAATTTATTCCACAATTCGCGTTGCTGTCGAGCCAATTGACTATGCTCTCTGTCGAACCAATGTGGCTTCACTGGTCCAGGTTTCCGATACTTGAGGGGTACGAAACGAGCGCACAACGATTGCACACACTCTTTCATAAAAGACAAGCAGGCTTCGACAAATGAATCTTGCGGCAGCGACCAGTCTTCTTCCCTGACGGCTCGATTTAGACCACTGAACTCGGTCTCCCAATAATTGTTTGTGGGCGACACTAAAATATGGTGACTGAGCAATCCGGTAGTCAACAGATGCCAATGTACTGTGTACTGTTTGACTGCCACGATAGTGATGAGGGCTATCATACAGTTATGTGCAAGGGTGAAGGTGCCGCAACACAACTTCGAGGCACGCTGTGCATGTTTTTATCGTGTGCACAGTGACAGGTGTGTTCTGAAGGGATATGTGACGTGCAGTATCCTCAAGTTAAACATGTTTCGATGGCATTCAGCTCATCGTCACTCAACCTAGTTGGGTGGCTGTGGTTGAAGGATTGACCGCATACATTCGCACCAATTGAGCACTGCTCCCTTTTGTCACAAGTTGGCATTGTGTCTGCTGCAGGAACCAAACAACTCTTTTTCGTTCGATACTTTCCGACACCGATGAGTACCACTGGTTGGTGCCCGGGCTGCACTGAACAGGCAGGCGCGTTGTAAAATGCTTTGAATACACACTGTCAGCGCATCCCAAGGCATTGTGATCGTGACCTAGCGGATTCTGTGGTGCTGTTCTCGAGCTCTTCCACTTACATGGGATCCATTTCGCATATTCATGTTTACCTGTTTATGTTTGATGTTTACCTGCGTAATCAGACCACGTCACTTGTTCTCTGCCATAATCATACTGCTATAGCCAACTCTGGTGACGCGACTTTCCCTTTCTCCACAGGTTCCACTGGTGTTTGCATTTATCTACGTGCTCGTCACCTTGTTCCTCGTCATTTTTGCCTTTGTGGGGTCTCCAACCGAGTCAAGTAAGTCGTGCTTTCAATGCTGTTGCACTGTACACATGACAGGTGGAATTTGTCCCGAAGTATGATGATTGAAAATCGTTTCACAAGCGCAATCTCCCACCCATCATGCGGTATTTCAGCGTCAGGCCGATGCAGCGAGGATGACAGTTGTCATCACCTGGCTAGCGTCGAGCCCGTGACATTTGCAGCGTCGATAAAGCTTAGTGGCATCTGTTCGCGCTGCTTTTGTTGATCTTGCGCGCTGGTCTGTCATGAACACAATATCTGCAGACCATGGTCCGTCATTGGAGAACACGTACGGCAACCTCTAAAGGGATAGTCTACTCGCTGTTGAACCGGGTGAGCGCTTGGTTTCTCAGCAAAATAATGATGTAGCAAATGTATATTGTAAGTGGCAAACGTAGAACATACGACCGTTCACAACGAGATGGTAAGCTTTTCCATAGCCAGACAAGCGATCAGTCCGCATTGAATGAAGTGCAACCAATTAATGTAAGCGCAAAACACCACTTTCTTTGTCGGGAAATTTACTTTATGCAGCTTGGTATCGAGCAGCTGATTTTGAAGTCTATTTGGACCTGCATATTTCACGTGACGGTGGAGCTGGCCCCGTCCGACTTTCACATGTATCTTGGCTGGATTGAGAGCCGGTCCCGTTGCTATGTCAAGCCGACGGGCGTTGAGATCAAGGCAATTCCCAGTCGGTAGTTGCCAGGCTCACATACATGTATGGTTCTCAGCGGTGCAGAATTGATTGATCCATCACGGCACTTCGATTTTTAATCCGAACAAAGGATCCCAGCTGCAGTGGGACCGAGGATCTGGCATAGGATTGCTAGTAACTTGCCATGCTGTTTGGCACTTCGAGATTTACAGAAAAGGACACGTTTTTTGCAGCATTCATTTTGGTGGGTAAGGAATTTCCTAACATCTGCTCGGTAGATGTTTTCCCGGTGGTTCTGTAATCACATGTTCCGTGTGATAACAGCGCCGTTGAGACAGCTTCTTCGCACTCTACCCCACCCCTTGTGAGATGGTCTGTATTGTCTCTTTGAGAGACCAGTTAAGGCGCTCCACCGTGCCATTAGCTGCTGGATTGTAGGGTGCAGTCCGGGAATGTTTTGCATTACGTTAGAGGAAAGTTTTGCAATCATAACTACAATGTTGTGGACCATTATCTGTCGCCAAATGCGCTGGTAATCCGAAACGACTGAACAGATGTTTGAGCGAGCGCAGCACTACAGAACAGGTCACCTAGTCACTTATACGGACCTCAGACCATCGGCTGTGTAGACAAGCAGCGAATCACAGCAGTGTTCACCTGTGATTACCACCGTCGTCTGAAACTGGGAAAACCGACAAGCAATGTGTAAAGCAATTGGCAGTCAAACAGTACACCTCCTTGGCATCTGTTGACTACCGGATTGCTCAGTCATCATATTTTAGTGTCGCCCACAAACAAGCTGAACCTTTCCGATTGTAGAACTTGAATATCTTGAGAACTGTGATACGGGATTGTTTTCAGTTTAACCCCACACTGTATCCGCCTTATTTTAAGAGCTGACCGTATCTGACCTGATGGTCCAGTGAGGTGAATAAGATCAGCAGGTTGCCACCCCATACGGAGTACCTGTTCCTCATATCATCTGTTGCATCTCGATCGCACATAGTTTATGAGTTCAAAACTCGGTATCAAGGTTGTTCGTCTACTTAAATAATCCATTGTGGATTGTTGTGTGTGTGTGTGTGTGTGTGTGTGTAATCAGCGCTTGGATTCATTTCTAGAGGTAGGTTTTTATACATGACTACAAGGACGCGTCGCCTTGAGATTAGTTCCGACTCCACATATTAGGGAGGGACTGAAATGGATCGAACTTACTTCGTTCGTCACTCGTATGTGGCTGTTCGGTCGCCCAGTGCACACTGGCTTCCACTGCCTCGGATACGGTTCGGTGGCCGGAATAACCTGGGTTTGACGTGAAGTGGAACAGTCACGAGTGGCATTACGTGTGACAGTACAAACGTGCGACCTGGAAAACAACCATTTTTACCGCTGTGTTTCAACGTAAGATTAACCATGAGCAATGGATGACAATACCAGTAGTTGTGGATCTTTTGGGCGCCCATAAACTGCGAAGCTAGAGAAATAGCTTCGGGGTTTCTGCTTCTCCATCCGCTAATTCCCGCGTCTATACCAATATTGTCTTTTATTCCTTCGTCTGCTGCCCATTTTTTCTTCGGGTGTCGTTAGTGGCGTCTTCAGAATGCCTTGACTATCCACTTGGGGAGCTACTTGAAACAGAAGGCGTGTAGACTAGGATGGGCGCGCTGGCTGGCAACTCCTGGCACTCCTCTGAGTTCCCGGCGCTTTGTGTATAGGTATTAGGAAATTTTGGTTACGCATTTGTAACGCGGAATCATCTGGCTGGGAAAACAGTCACATAGTATGATATCCTTAGACTAGTAACGAATAAACTACCCCGCTGAACTCGACTTCACGTTTGATCCCGTGGTTTAGTACGCACTACGTGACTACTCCAACAGAGCAAGTTTCTTGCGCACGAACATTCGGCGGAATGCAAGTAATTGGTTTCGTCGCAAAACACAAAGAGATAGGAATGTTACTGTGTTGCGGTGCGCAAATGTGGTCTGTGTGATAGATCTGTGCTATGCTAAGATGTCCAAGTCTCACTGGAACATTTCGATGAACCAATCGCATGCGTATCAGAAAGGTCGTTGTTGGCATTAATTGATCCGTGGTAGAGGATATTATCGCTTCCAGGAAGGAGGTTACCACCAAATCAATACAATTCACCAACTCTTTGAAATAGGTCTTAGACATTGCTTATTCCAACGGTTCTCGTGTGTTGAACTGGGACACAGATTATTCGTTCTCTGGACCGTTTTACACGACCAGTGCGACGCACAAAGCTTTACCACAGGCAACCTGACGATGGTCGAGGTTTTCGATGATTCTTCTTCCTATTCTCCTTCCTCTTCTTCAGTTACATAAATTTGACAGACTGCTGAGGTCGTTAAAACGGGGTAAAATCAGTTTAGAAGAGGCCAGTTATCGCCATTAATCAGGTCGATGTGGGAACTTTCACGCGATCCAACTGAGTAAAATTCACTATTCGATCGGGCCAGGACAGTACTCAAGAGTTAACTAGAGAATGTGGAAATGGTGCTTCATGTCGGGCTTCCGTCATCGACGAAATTAACTTTACTGGTCTCGTCTGATTGAAGTAACTGTTATTGTTGAAACGTAGACACTCTTGAGTCTCCACTCAAAGGTGGCGTTGATTTCATTCGTTTTCGGAATCAAACACATTCGTTCTAATTTTCAACTTCTGTATATGCTACAGCAGCAGCGTATGAGTTTGAATGGCGGCGGCGAACTCATACCTTTTAATCTTCAACCGTCTGTACGTTGGTTTTTCCGATGTTGCCGATGTTTTGTGCACTCTATTGTTCATCTGCCCGCGTTTCTGTTCTCCCTGTTTTCCTTTATTCACTCGGAGGCGTTTCTCCTTCATTTTGCAGTCATCGGCGTGGTGATCATCGCCACGGGAATTCCGTTCTACATCTTCGGGTGTGTTTGGAAGAACAAACCTTCCACGTTCGTGCGATACATGGGTAAGTTACTCTGGCATGCCTGTGTTCTCATGGTAACTAACACATTCGGCTGAGACCATCTACTAGTATTTTGTTTTGTTTCATATTTGCCTTACCATTACTTTTACCAGTTCGGTTAAGGAAAGTCCATAGCAGTGCCATGAAATAGAGCCGCAGCGTCGGGTCATCTGTGTTGCTTCTGATATGTATATGGTTGGAGGCATCTGGTGCCGGATTTTACCTGTCTCTGTGGCCTCCATCCAACAGCCACATGACGCCTGCGCCTACAGAGGGGACCATGGGTGGCATGCCCTGCATCATCCACAGCTCCATTCACACACACACACATACCATATCTAGTGTAAATCCGAAGGAATAAGACCGGGAGGCATGTGGATGCGAGCCACGTTTCATCAACGGAGCCGGCCCACACTCCTTCACAGGCAAACACAAGCACGCTGTATTTGGGGAATCAAGCGCACGCAAGGCGGTGACTGGACCGTAGTCAGCTACACAGAGTGCATGGAACCACTCTTTGATCATAACACGACCACTAGGACCGTGCACCCCGTCCCCTCCAGCAACGACCAACTGTCTCCTGGAGCCAGTATGGACGAGGTAGTGGGTAATAGACAGGTAGGCACCTTGTCAACATGCACACTAAGTGCAGCCACACCGGGGATATCAAGCAACAGCCATTCACTTTAAACGACAAGCTGAAATACAATAAATCCAATAATGCATACAGATACGGTGACATAATCCTTCACCAAATGAGCGTATCAACTAAACTGGTTACAAATGAATCCGCGATAAGCTCAAGACGTCAGGAAATATATTTTAAAGAAATGTCACAAGCGCGAAAATGTTATCGAAGTTAACTACAATTACAATTATGTTTACCAATTGGTGTGTGACTGCGACATCAGTTATATCGGCAGAATCAAACTTGCTTTAGATTCCAGAGTGAAGGAGCACTTAGCAAACTGGGTTCAGTGCAAAGTTACTCACTCCACCTCCGACGATACGTGCTCGCATAAGCCACCAGCGTCCTCCATAGGCAGGCACATTTTGGCGACTCGTCACCGGGTCAATCCCTTATCGGCGTTCCGGATCGTGTTGCGTCATACTAATTCACGCCTTTTGCGATTTGCCGAGGCCGCCGCGATAAGCCGAATTAGACCATCCTTGTGTGTTCAAAAGCAAATAAGTGTCAACGGGCGGTTGCCGTGGTCCTATTCCCGACAACAATGACCACAACCATTAAGCTGATTGGCTTGACTGTGTACTGTTAGACAGATAAAAGGATTTCCCTGTTATTGTATTAGTAATGACGAGATAATACGAAATGCTAGCGTCTGCCAATATTCGTCTTCTCATTTTGCTGTTCAAACTACTGAAGGGAACTAACTGTTTTAAACTGCAATTGGCTCAAGCGACGTGTGCAAGTTTGTAGAAGATAGGTCAGGTAGACATTTATATGAGGAAGGATTAGGACACAATTGAAAACCCAGCACCTGAAATAAATAGACTTAGCATGGAAGCACGCGGTTAGTAAATCGAATGCAGCGTACCTACTAACATTGCGCCGGTTCTGCCTACGTTTTCTGCACCACCCATCGTCGCTTCAGTGTTGGCGCCAAATGGCGTCGCTCATAGCTCACTAGGCCTGCGTGGCTCAGGCACTCGCGACCGCGGCGGTGGCTGGTCTGTAGTCCGCTACACACTGAGTGCATGGAACCACTCTTTGATCATAACACGGCCACAAGGATCGCGCACCCCGTCCCCTCCAGCAAAAACCAACTGTCTCCTGGAGCCAGTATGGACGAGGTGGCGGGTAATAGACAGTTAGGCAACTTGTCAACATGCACATCAAGCGCAGCCACACCGGGGATATCAAGCAAGAGTCAATCACTTGAGAGAAAGATACCAAAGAAACTAAATCGAGTAATGCATCAGGAAACGGTGACACAAATCTTAAATTAGTGAGCATATGAAATAAGTTGTTAACAAGTTATGCGACATAAGTTCAGGGGGTCAGAAATATACTTTACGGAAATGCCACAAAGACGAAAATGTTATCGAAATTAACTGCAATTAGCTTAAGCGAAGTGTGCAAGTTTATAGAAGAGAGTACAGGTAGACAATTGTATGAGAAAGAAAAGCATTAGGACAAAATTAAAAACCCAGCACCCGAAACCGCAAGATTCTAGCTCTGTGCTCACTCTGCGATCCCCTTCAGGTGACGCAAATAGTATTTTCTCAGTGCGTCTATCCGGTGACGATGCAGCTTCGAGCACCGGCCAAGCTGGTGTTGGCATTACCCTGTGTCCCTGGGCTGAATCTGCTCTGGTTGATTGGATCCGGATGTATGCGGTCCGATTGGCTGGCTCGTTTAAAGCTTCGAATTCGCGCGGGACAAATAGGTGTCTATTCATCATCGCTGCCTACGCGCCCACAAACTGTATCGATGATTCGGTGAAAAACGACTTTTACCGCCAACTTCCTGAGCTCCTTCGCCACAGAAGAAGCGCGGACACTGTTGTGCTGGCGGGTGATATGAACGCACAAGTTGGAAAGTTGTCCACTGATGAAATGCATCTGGGCGGTCAGCACAGTGTAGGCTCCTGTAATGATAACGGTGAGCGTTTACCTCATTTGTGTGAAGATGCTCACTTATTTCTTGCGAGCACTAATTTCCAACACAGTACCCGCCGGAGGGTGACTTGGCGCCCACCAGCCTTGGACGCAGATCGATCACATTGCCATTAGTTACCGCTGGAGAGGCTGCATCCAGAATTGTCGCTCGATTTGGAGCACATCTGTGGACACCGACCATGCACTTGTATGTGCTGATATGCGGATGCGCTTTGGCGGACGCCCACGACGACGCTGTGAGCGCACTGACACCAGCCAACTGACAAAGCCAGCTGTTCTGAATTCGTATCGAAGTACGCTGACAGGCGAGTTGTGTAATCGCTCACTGGAGACAATTGATGCTCACTGGTCACATGTTCGCCAGACCTTACTAGCAGCAGGCAAATCCTCATGTGGTATGTCTAATAGCCAACATGGACATTGAGTCTCTTCTCGGTCTCTGGAACTTATCGATGCTCGCCGGCATATCCCGGCTGGAAGCGATCCAATGAAACTCGCAAAGAGCTCCGGGCAAAACTCCGCGCTAGCCTGAAGAGAGAGCCAACGAATCCTGGTGGTCTCTTCGTGCGTCAGAGATGGAAGTAGCCGCTGCCCTTGGTAACCATCGGAAGTTATTCCGTCTGATACGGGAAACGGGCAGCAGGAGACCTGGCGTTAGTGAAACAATTTGTGACGAGTGTGGACCGCCTATCCACAATTTGTCAAAACGTTTGGAGCGTTGGGCTGAGCATTTTGAAAAGCAATTTAATCGGCCGGAATTGTTCGATTCGCCGGTCACTGATCGCCCTGCTCCGTAGGCTGTCCCTTTGGATCCGCCATCTTGCTCAGAAGTCGAACGTGAGATCGGACTGTTGAAGTTGAACAAAGCCGCGGGACCAGATGATTTTCATCCAGCCCTCTTCAACTTCAGGGGCCCTGCTCTTGTTGATGATTTACACGAATTACTAGTGAAAATGTGGGAGCAGGAAACTGTCCCAACCGACTGGAGCCGCTCCGTTATTGTTCCTATCTTCAAAGGCGGCTCGCGCTCGGAATGCGGCAACCATAGAGGAATCAGTCTGATCTCCATCGCCTCCAAATTACTCGCCTCCATAATTCTTCACAGACTGACTGGCGCTCGTGAAAGCCAGATTCGTGAGGAGCAAGCCGGGTTTCGTCGGGGTCGTGGCTGCATCGACCACATCTTCACCTTGCGTCAGTTGTTGGAGCACCGTCACACATATTGGCGGCCAACCGTACTCATGTTCGTCGACATCAAAGGTGCCTTCGATTCGGTTGATCGATGTGCCCTTTGGAATTGTCTACTCAGGAAAGGTGTGCCCGAGAGATATGTAAATAGTATCCAAGCATTATACGTGTGTAGCACGGTTAGAAGAATGAGGGCTTACGGCAAGCTGTCGCTGTCCTTCAATATCTCCAGCGGTGTGAGACAAGGATGCCCGTTGTCACCTTTCCTCTTCAATTTCGCTATTGACGAAGTCATGGAGATTGCATTTGCAGGACACGACTTAGAAGGTGTGGAGTTACTCTTAGGGGAACCATTTCTTGACTTGGAGTATGCAGACGACATTGCCCTCATCTGTGACAGCTCCTAGACGTGCCGAGCTGCACTGGAGAGATTAGCACTGGCTGTCAGCCGCTTCGGGCTTTGCTTTGCACCATCAAAGTGCAAAGCTTTCATCCAAGCTTGGCAGTGATCGCCGCCTGCGCCGACCCTTGTTGGGGATCAGCTAGAAGTCGTTCCGGAATTCAACTACCTGGGAAGGTGTATCAGCACCCTTAGGATCGAAAACAAGATCACGAAGCGTATAGCGAAAGCTCGAAGTGCTTTTGCTAGTCTTCGGCACCTATGGCGGCGGCGCGACATCACTCTTGCCCTGAAGGGTAGAGTGTACAATGCAGCGGTACGTTCGACCTTAATGTACGGTTGCGAAACCTGCCCCCTTAGATCATCATACATAAAGAAGCTAGTTACGTTCGACCAACGGTGCCTTCGCAGTTTGGCTCACATATGGTGGGAACACTGCGTGAGCAACGAGCGTGTTCGATGCCTTGTTTACCGCACAGGAAAAGGAACTGAACCGCTCAGCACCGTCATTTCACGCACCAGGCTCCGATAGCTCGGCCACGTGTTACGCATGCCAGCCCACCGACTCCCGCGACGTGCGTTGTTTGCTCGCCGGGGGTGTGGATGGAAGAGGTGGAGGGGTGGCCAAGCGATGACTTGGTCGAGAGGAATGAAGACCCTCACTTCTGAGCTGGCCTCGGTTGGAGCTTCACGACTCCCTGATTGAGGTCCAAACGTCGGTGAACACGTTTGGCTCGATACACTTGATGACATGGCAAGGAGCCGACCTCAGTGGCGTTTGTGCTGTGAGTTACTTTGTCCCTCCCCATCCCTGTTAGCCTCTCCCTCCAACCACGATCTCATTTCGTAGCATAATATAATTTTACGTCATTTTTTCTTGTTGCCTAATACCCGGATGGTATCTTACCGGAACGATGCACATCCTTTGCTGGTAGCTCAGCTGACATGCAACCGTTGTATTTATTTTCTTTTTTCTTTTATATCTTGCGGCACAGTAGATGAGGTGTTTTCTACACCTATAGCCAGCGTGTATAATGATGATGATGATGAGGCATGCGCAGGACGTGGCCAAACCAACTCAAGTGACTGCCGGACGAGATCTGAAGCGGAATATCCGACTTACCGAATATGGTGCGTACTCGGTGTTGCCAACACACGCTGTCAATCCTCCGCAAACAGCTACGGTCGAGGGCCGAATAACTACGCATCTCTTCCATACGGATTGGCCAGGATTCGCATCCGTACAGCAATGTCGCGCGTTCACAGGCTTTGTATACCCTGTCTTTTAACGAGAGTGTAATGTCGCGATGACGCCACAATTGTCTTAAATTAGCAAACGCTAACCGGGCTTTAATGATACGAAGGGATACCTCTGCTTCTATAGTTCCATCGGCAGAGACGCAGCTCCCTAAGTAGATAAACTGCTAGGTGTTCGAGCTGTGTGTCTTGGATGGTGAATTGAGGAAGGGGTGCCTGCCAGTCCTGTAAAAGCACTGCACTTTGCAAAGCACGTACCAAACTTAGACGCTTTAATCGCCGATCGATCAGTAATCGGTTGCATCCCATGGGGTCGTCACCGAGCAAGGCGATATCCTCAGCGTAGTCTAAGTCGGTCGCGCGATTACCTGGAAGAAACTCGATGCCAAAGTTCTGCAGACCCTCCAAACCTTCCAAAATGACATCTTCGATCGCAAGATTGAGTAGAAACTGTGATATTGGGCATCCTTGTCGCACGCCACTGAGGACAAGGAAGAGAGGGGAAAGCTTGCCTTAGGCTTTCACACGGCCTGAGATGTGAAGGTATAACACGTGAAGTATAGCGACCTACTTTTCCGGAACTCCATTCTTCAGCGGACCGTTCCATAAAGCAGGTCGATCTATCGAGTCGAACGCAGCCCGTATATCCGGGAAAGTGATGATTTTGGGTCCGCGGTAGAGGTGACGATGCTCCAGGAGTTGGCAAAGAGTGAAAATTTGATCCACACATCCTCGACCGGCGCGAAAACCAGCCTGCTCCTCCCGGTAGTGTGACTTGCGAGTGGAGAATAACCTGCGGAACATGATAGGTACCAATAGCTTGGAGGCGACAGCTACCAGACTAATGCCCCTGTGATTGGCGCACGAAGTGTGAGAACCTTACTTGAAGATTGGAACAATGATTGACTCACCCCAGGAAAAGGGGACACTTTCCTCCTGCCATCCCTTCAGAAACAGGGAGGTTACTTGATTGACGACTGCTGTACCACCGTATTTGTACAACTCTGGGGGAACTTCATCTAAGCCGGCAGCCTTGAAACGCTTGAAGTGATGAATCTCAGGACAAAACTCCGCCTCGCTTGGTGGTTTGGGTAGTACTAACCATGGCATACGACTGGGTGTACTAATTGTAAAGGTGGGTGGCGAGATACAACTGAACTGAGACTGGAAATGCTCAGCCCATCTGTCCATGCGTCTTTGCAAATGGGTGGTTTATGACCCCTCCGCCTCACAGATAAGGTTGCTGGTACCAGACCACCTATGTCCAGTGGTCCGAACGAGCTGAAACAGCTTGCGAGTCTTTCCAGTGAGGGCGGTAGCCTCCAACTCCAAGGCGCGTTGGGATCACCAAACTTCCCGATCACTGTGAAGGCTTCGTTTGAGTTGTCTGCTGATAATACGGCGAACTTCATTCTGGTCTGAGTTTACGGAGAGAGTTCGGCGACAGTCAAACACTGTCAGGAAGCGCGCCTATATCCAACCCTTCAGTGAGTGGTGCGATAACCCCCAGACCGATTGACTTGAAGTTAGTATTGCTTGCTGCAATAACGTCTAGTAGTGTACAATATCAGTGGACGGGACACAGGCTACTGTGCTTCCCAGTGAAAGTTGATAGTCTAGGTGAGCCAACTGATCAACTAGCCCGTTCGTATCAACCTTACAAAACCTCCGTTTCTGATTTCCTCTGAATCGCATGCAAATGTTGGCACAGGCCAGTGCGTGTTCTGAATCGAGGTAGGTAGACTAAAATGATCTACCGTTTTGTCTGCTGCCACGCCACCTGAAACTGATTGCAATGTGCTCTATTTAGGACCCGGCCTGCGATGGTGAAGGGGACGCCGGATGGCACAGCGTCTCCTCAAGTGCCTTAAGTTCATGCTTGCGAGAAATCGGCTATTGTGTTTGCACAAATTAAGAAGCCTGGTTCCGTTATCTGAACGACTCTCGTTCAGTGCCTGATGACCACCCAACTGATATTCACCTGGTAACAACCTACAGACACTTGGGTTGAAGTTTCCGGCGGGGACAATGATGTCTGACTTGGCGGCTTTGTGTAACGGCTGATGAAGCTAGTAGTGAAAATGTCCTTGTTCACTTCCGAGCTAAAATCGGTTGGCTCGGAAGCAGAAACTACAAACCGATTGCGCCTTTCAGCACGATGTCTGTTAATCCTTCATGAGCATTGGGGGTGAAGTGAACATAGTCGGCTGTTAACTGGAAACCAGTCAAGGAGTGCAGCCTCGGCTTTGTCGCTTAACACCAAGCCAATGCTGGCCAAGCCAGCGGAAGTGGCTTCTGTTTCGACAGATAAACGTAAGTGGTATGTAGCTTCCTGGTTGGTCGGAGATTTCAACTTGAGCACAGTACTTGGGTCCTGCAATCGCGTTTCGGAAAGGCAGCAGATATCAATGGCGAGGGAACTCAGAGTACGTGCAAGGCCGGCCTGTTGCCCAATCTGCATAAGCGTCCGGACATTGAGGGTTGCCAGCCGAAACGAAAATCGGGGTCGAAAAACAACCTCAGGCAGGACATCACCGGCAATAGTAAAACCGGTAGCAGAGTTAAGTCAAGCTGAACAGGGATTATTAGCAGAAGAATAATTGGCGTGTGTTGAAGCTTGGTGAGAAGCGAAAGAGACAGGAGCGAGAGAATGCGAAACAACGGTATATTCCATTGTTTTTACAGCTGACGCGATACTACACGGTTGCCCATGCCGAAGTAGGGTGTTGACTTAGGGGACACCACCCCGATCCTTTGGCTCAATAGCCTACCCGCAAGGCAGCAGGGCCAATTCAGGGGACCGCGTTCATTGGGAGCCGGTGACCGTTTTCTTGGTTCATACCCCTTTCATTTGGTAAGATACCAAATAAGGACCCAATCTTCTCTAGGGTAGCAGCAACTGACAGTTGGAATACAACGCCCCACCGGAGTGAAACAATGGGCCGTAAGTTTATTTAGTGGCGAGTCGTATGCGCCACGTCGCAGTGTTGTTGAAGGGATATATGTGGTTCTTTATGCGGAGAATGCCTGCTATGTGAAAGCTCACCACGTCCAGGAACACTGCCGCCGAACTATTCGCTGGAAAGGATAGATCCCGAACTACCCAGCTGGCACCACGAGGAGGTTGTTCGGCCAGGCAATCGTTTTGCTTCTTACTACAATGGCTTACTGTCGACCAGTGGCCAAGTGGTCTGCACGCCTGGTTTGTAATCATAAGGTCACCGCTTCGAATCCGAGTAGGGGCGGGCATCCTCGCGGTATGTTCAGACAGCGCGCGGCTATTGATGGTCGCGCGGCAGAGAAGCCCCTTTACGGCGTACAGCTGACGATTATTTAGACCTTTTGCAATGGGTTACTAGGATGGGTGATTACTCGTGGCACCCTCACTTGACAGACCTAGCTGAGTATCCGTGAAAAGGCACTAGACCCCAAGTGTGACGGCGTTTTCACAGCACCTAGCCGACTTCAGCAGGTAGCTTAAGTTTTACTTATATGCTGTACGTATGTGTGCCAATACAGCTCACCTTGGTGTATTTTTCGTTTAGTTGTGTTTGACGGTGATGAGCTGCGGTTCGCTTTCATTTCGTTCGCTTGTTTGTTGTCAAATATTTTACTGTTAGCTGAACAAAACCATCTCGGAGGAACTACATTTTTCTTCTCACTATTGACTTGCTTCAGCGAACAGGTTGGATGGTGGATTTGAGGTTTATGTAGGGAATTACCGTAGGCTTATTTGAGTATGTTGAAATATTCGTCATAAACTATATTTTTCGCTTGTCGTATGTGAGTCATGCGATGCAGTACAGGGACGGATTCACCTCACACTAAACACCTTAAGTGTGACGTGTCGAGCACCTGAAATCGATATTGCAACCACGCTACATGCATCGTTCGAGCATGCTTTCATATGTGGCTGCCAACACCGATTGGCTCAACATTGGGCAAGGTCAATAACTCTTTCCTTGGTGGAATGTCTGGAATGTCTCATTTTCCTCTTTCGGTAACTCATGCGCAATGTCATTGCAACATCCTTCCCTATGATTTCGTAAACCCGTCACTTTCATTTCAATTGTAGATCGCTTCACCGTCGGAGCACAAAAGCTGGGTGGTCTGATCCCCGGATCGTGATCGATTTTCGTATTTCGCCAATTTTCTTACTCCCTCTGGCCAATTTCTGTATATCAACCTACTCCCCGTGGGCTTTCTCCTTGTCAAAGGCAGCTTCTACACGCTGGCTCGCGTTGAATAACAACCAACCTTATCGGACACTACCCGTGTTTTTGCTGATCAAGCTACAGCGTAGTAACCTCGCTTATGCACATTGCTTAGTTGATTGCTCACGCATCATCGTGCCCTGTTGTGTGATCGTGTTCGATCCGTCAGTAAGGTTGATTATGATAGCATTGATAGGACCCACTTTTTCACGTTGTTGAGGCGTTGATATTCACAGCACACAAGATACACCACATCAATTAATACCGCAGAAACTTGTGGTACAATCGACCGAGTTTGCGTGATGGAAACCGGCCCTTGCCAACACACAATGCAGTTACTAATAGTACCAAGCAGCGGGAAATTACAATCCACTCCTCCCACCTTGTAACTGGGCGCTTGGAAAGAGCTGCTTTCCCCCGGACGCGTTCAATAAATTCACATCTAAGTGATTGTTCTGGACCGGGAATCCTCCCCCACTGGTGTGTATTTTTTTGGATTGCTTTTGAAAGTTTTGCAATTAGTGTTTTAGGAGTAGTTAGTGTTCTTTCATGAATCCCTTGCAGCAGTGAGGCTTGCTACAACTATTGTTATCACGTAAGTACAACGTCTAAACACAAACTTATCAGAGTCCAGTGATACTGCGGTTACAGTGTGTCATCCACAAGAACGTATTCCATAATCCGTGATGTTTAGAAAGTTGCCGCTGTCGTATCACATAAGAGGAGATCGCCTTTTTTCGACCATTGTGGACTAAAACTTCCCATCGACTGCTATTCATTTCGCCAATTTCTCACTATCGCTTGGAATACTCACATTTTAGTTCGAAGCACCCACCTTCGGTCTAATCGAGTGCTGCTTTTAACTAAGGGATGCCTGTGGACGATCGTGGTTCTTTGTCAAAACCGTAGGGTAAAACCGTGGGTTCCCTTTAGCCATTTCGTCAAAGCAGTGTGAAGGCATAAGTTGCGATATGTCTACAGTTCGATTGTTCTCAACCGTCGTAAACACACTACAAGCGGAATACATACACAAGTATATACATGGGTAAATTAGTACACCAATCAAAATCACGACCACGGCAACCTAATTGACTGTCTCAATAGTTCCGGTGCACACAACACAGGTTGATAACCTCTAAGTAGCAACGCCAATTGCCAAAAGTATCAAATTGTGGTTACGCAATAACATTCTGAACACGGTCTCCGGGTTCACATGATGTCGAGCTACCAAGAGAGGCTTGGTGATAGATGATGCTGGACTCCGGTTTGTTGCGTCATCAGTGGTCCCAACAACCTCGGCACATGTTCAGCTACCCTCTGAGCTAACTGACGGTCAGCCCTGCTTATGTAAATGTCACCGCTACTGCAGGCGAACTAGTAAACGACGTGAGAGGACGAACTTCCTGATGAGTTGCTCTGAAGGTCTGGAGAACAAGGCTTCGTGTGGTATGTATGAGTCGTAACTGGGCGGTCGCATAGGTGCGCGTAAGGGCAGATAGGAGCTTATGTCCGATATCATTTGCTACACGGTCTCCTTTGAACGGCAAGAATAAATGAACATTCTTTTTCTCTTCAGTTAACATCGGTATTTTCTCCTTGGGAGGCCTGCTGTGGATCTGAATGCATTACTCTGGATACCCATTTGACACCAAGGTCCTGTACAGAAATACTTCATCTTTCAACATTTCGAAGCCGCAAAGCCTTCTAGCTCTGTAGAAGAGCTTTTTCACTAGGCCACGTTTGTATGTGACCGGAGCAAAGCTGGAAAAGTGAAGGTGCTGCCCATTTCAAGTTGCTTTGCAGTGAACTGTGAGTATATCCAAAAACGTCAGACTCATGGGACACCAATAGATTTGCATGAATTGAATTCAGTACTGTCAGCAGCCGCGTAGACTGTTCGCTGCTGGTGAAGACTAGCATGTTATGCACATACCGCTTGTGCAACTTAGCTTCACCAATGCTGGAAGTAACCTGCCTTTCTATCAAGCCGAGACAGATGTCTGCTAATACTGGACCCGGAGGGCTACCCATGGCGACGCCGTCAATCTGTTTATAAGCAGTCCCCTCGAATTCGAATGGTATATTTTCCGTACTTAATAGAACCATATCCCTCAAATACTCCAGGAGCAAACCAACAGATATGTTTCGACTCGTGATGAAATCACGCAAATCGTCGACCGTTTCACGTAGAGGCACGTTTGTGAATAGGGCGTCTACGTCTATTGAGTACATGTGATCCGCATTCAAAGACGAGTGTTCCAGTGTCTCGGCTAATTCATAGGAGTCCTTTAGGCAATACGTGGCCAGGAGTTTGCGTATCGGTTCCAATATGTTCGCTAGCCACCGCGCAATGTTGTGATATGGCAAATTGCTCATACACCTAATCGGGTGCAGTGGGTTACTTGCTTTTATAACTTGGGAGCGCCTCTCATTCTGCGTTCTGCGTGCCAGTCGGTTTCAACCGCTAATATTGCGACTCATTGATATAGCCATTTGCAGTTTCCTTGACACTTGTTTCTCGACCAAGATGTTGTTTTCTGGTGCCTTGTCTAGCTGAAACTTTCGCCCTTACGCGCACTTACGCGACCGCCCAGTTGCGACACATACATAATACGCGAGGCCTTGTTCTCCATAACCGTCAGAGCAACTCGTCAAGCAGTTCGGCGTCTAGCGTCGTTTACCAGTTCGCCTGCAGTAGCGGGGACATTTACGTAAGCTGACCGTCAATTAGCTCAGACGGTAGCAGAACATGTGCCAAGGTGGTTGACACAACTGAGTACTGAAAATAGAGAGCGAGAAGATAAAAATCTGGGTTGCTCCATCTTAGGTGGATCGGGCACATGCGCGGAATCACATCGCTGATTCATGCGCGATGGCAGCATAGTGCAGTAGCACTATATCTTATCCGGGTGCGATACGCTCCCTATACCTGTAGTCCGCAAAGTGAGCGTCCAGGAATCTCTTAAATTCCGACACCGATTTCGCCTCGACTAGTGTCTCGGGCAATTTGTTCCAATATTTCACCACTCGACGCTCGAAACACAAAGCGTGAGCGATGTGCTTTAAATCCGGTGCCACTAGTTTGTACTGGTGTCCGCGTGTACCGGGTGGTGTGCGAACGTGCAGCAGCGGCTTCAACAAAGAGAGCTGGCTCAAGAGCAGTATTCGGTGCGTCATCATGAGATCAACTCGAAGCCGACAATATGACAGGGTATAAAGCCCTAGTCTCCTACATCGGTCCTCGTACGACATACCTCGTAATCTGGGGATGAGCCGGGTAGCTACATGCTGGACCCGTTCCAGTTTCTGCAACTCATCTATTGTGATCGGGCAATAGGCGGATTAGCCATACACAAACACTGGTCTTTTTATGGAAGAGACCAGACGCGTTGCAATCTGTTCAGACCACGTGCAGAAGCTGCGTCGAAGTGCCCAAAGCAGGCATGGTCCGTTTGCGTACAGTCTGTTCGTGTTGTCGACAGACCTCAGATCACAGTGTGAGAGTATGCCTAGATGCTTTACGAAACTGGTAAGATGCAGCGGGTGGCTGTTTAGGTTGTAAGCACGCCCAGTACCACCCCTTCCCAGCCTCATTAACGAAAACTTGGTCGGGTTGACCGGTAGGTCAACTTCTTCAGACCACCGGGATAAGCGGTGGAGGTCCTGCTGAAGGACGTCACAGTCGCCGGGAGAATCAATAATCCCCCAAATCTTCAGCTCGTCTGCAGGCAAGGCACAGACCGACCGAAGAAGCTGAGGTACTTGGTTGATGTGGATAAGGAACAAAATGGGCCCCCGTGCTGTACCTTAGGGCCCGCCGTTAGTGGACAGGTACCATTCCGTTAGATGGTCATCCACCTGAACCCGCCATCTTCTCCCAATAAGGAGGTCACTGATCCACTGGTGCAGTGCACCACCAACACGACACATCATCAGCTTGTGTAGCAGGATCTCATTGTTCACTTTATCAAAAGCTTTACTGAAATAAATGTAGATAACATCCACTGACTTCCCCCGGTTCAATGCTTGCAACCATGCCTGCCGCGTCAACAGCAAGTTCGTGATGCACGAGCGTCCCTTCATGAAGCCGTGTTTTGCCGGCTTTAGGATATTTTTCGACTGCAGCAGCTTAGAAGACCCTTTTACACAATCATCTCGAGCACCTCCGCCAAAACAGAGATAAGACAAATCGGCCGGTAATTGTCCCTATTGCGTAGTTCACCACCTTTTGGAATCCGCTTCACTACCGTGTATTTCCAGTCGCTGGGCAATGCACCCTCGGATAGCGATCTGTTGAACAGATCTGTCACGGCAGGCGCATTGGTGGCCGATAAGTACTTCAAAATCAGTGGGTGAAGTCCATCGGATCCCGCAGCTTTCGTGCCGTGAAGACTGGCGAGTAGACTGCGGACATCTTCTATACCACAATCAAGGCACTCGTTTTCAGTCGGGGCTGCACACGTCGAGATTGGCATAGGCGTCTGCCCAGTTGTATATACGGAAGCGAAGTGCTCTGCCAATGCAGGCGCACGTTCAGTGCTGGAGATCAGAGACTGTCCGTCAGTGCCCTCTAACACAGTTTCGTCAGTTGCGGGCCTCAGGCGCCGCTTCACGTAAGCAAAAAATCTTCTTGGGTGCCTCTTTGCTGAGGTTGCAAGCTCCTCTTCTATCTGTCGACGCTTTCGCACTTTTACGATGTTGCATCAACTCCGTTGCCTTTCGTTCGGCTCATAATCGTCGGCAGCGCCAGACACGAGGAATTTATTCCACAATATGTGTCACCGTCGAGTCAATTGACCATACTCTCTGTCGAACCAATGTGGCTTCACTAGTCCAGCCTTCCGATACTTGAGGGGTACGAAACGAGCGCACAACGATTGCACACACTCGTTTATAAAAGACAAGCAGGCTTCGACAAATGAATCTTGTGACAACGACCAGTCTTCTTCCCTGACGGCTCGATTTAGACCACTGAACTCGGTCTCCCAATAATTTTAGGACGGCTCCGGCAGACGTGGGTGGGGCGGCTCTAGGTTGGCTAACGCCATCTAG